TTATTCTTGTGTTTGAATATATGTGCTGCTTTATTTTTTGTATCGTCTCATTTTGTAATATCTGGAGGGGATTCTTATGGTTTTGTCTATTTTTCTTTGTTTCCTTTTCTTTTTGAACTTCTAGGTTTTTTATTTTTGAGGAAATGCAGGTATGTTGGAAACATTCACATGCAAGTGACTGAACCACTTCTTCAAGAAGTTTTTGCAAGTACTGGTCCTGTGGAAAGCTGCAAGCTTATTAGGAAAGAAAAGGTAGAATTGACCTTATGTGTGCTGTTTACAGTGATTTCTATTCCTAAGTTGGAAGGTATGGACTTAGTTTTTTAGCCCATGATAATATTTCTGGTATTTATAATCCATTTTGCTCAATTGCAGTCGTCCTATGGATTTATTCATTATTTTGATCGTAGATCGGCAGCACTGGCGATACTGTCTCTTAATGGGAGACATCTGTGAGTATAACACGTTGGAGGTCCAATATTAAAATCTTTTGTGATTCGGATATATATCTCTTATTATGTGTTTTTTTAGGTTTGGGCAGCCTATCAAAGTTAACTGGGCATATGCCAGTGGTCAGAGGGAGGATACATCAAGTGGGTACATAGTTATATGTTTTCATACCTGTGTTTCTGTTTTGCTTTATCAAATCGATGTCTTGTAATTTTTGGTGGAACGACACTTTAAACCTTCTGTATAGGTCATTTCAACATTTTTGTTGGCGATCTCAGTCCCGAGGTTACTGATGCCATGTTGTTTGCGTGCTTTTCTGTTTACCCAAGTTGTTCGTAAGCTCCCTCCTCTGTCTATATCATGTGTTGCATATATATTCATTCTTTTGCAAGCATGCTGCTTTCTTTCTTGAGGTTCAACCTTCAGCACGGACTTTTTTTTAGGGAGGTTGTATGGGATTGTGAGGCTATTTTTTGTATATACATGAGGAAAAAAGAAAGGGAAATATTTGTTTTTCTAGAAATTAATTAAGTATTTCTTTATGCTTGGTTTATTTTTTAGTTTGTTTTACGAGGTGCTGATTGTTTTATTATGGTCTTTAGTGATGCGAGGGTTATGTGGGATCAGAAGACTGGACGTTCTAGGGGATATGGGTTTGTCTCCTTCAGAAGTCAGCAGGTATATTTTTGTGCAGTACTTGGGCATTTATTTTGGAACTTGCAATTTCCTCTTTTTCTAGTTTAATTCATGAATTTTCTTTTCAGGATGCCCAAAGTGCAATCAATGATTTAACTGGTGAGCATAGTGCAAATCATTTTCTTTTCATAAGTTTTATTTGCATGTATTTTCAGTTATCTTGGCATGGCTATTAGATATTACTTTTTCATAAGCAAAAATATCACAAAGCTTAGGCAATTTACTTGATAATATTCTAATTATCAATTTTTCAGGAAAATGGCTGGGCAGCAGGCAGATGCGCTGCAACTGGGCCACAAAAGGTGCTGGTGCCAGTGATGACATGCAGAATGCTGATTCTAAAAGTGTTGTGGAACTAACAAATAGCTCCTCAGGTGAGTAAGCTTGGATGAAGAATCGCAATAAGAACTGAGATAAATGGTATTGATAGCTTTGAACTAAGGAAGTGTCATGGATTGCTTCAATCTGCCATGTGTTATTTTATCAAGAAAATCTAAATTTCAGTTCCTGGAATTCCCATGTTCCATAACATCAATTTTATTATTTTTTATCTAGGTGTGTTTTTGTGATTTATTTATTGGCAATTCTATAATTTACCCATCAGTTTTGATATTTAGATCAATTATATTCAGAGATTGGTTCTTGCTTTGACAGAAGATGTTAAAGAGGCAGCAAATAGTGATGCTCCTGAGAATAACCCTCATTACACAACTGTGTATGTCGGCAATCTTGCTCCGGAGGCAAGAATCTCTTTCCGTTGTGCTTATTGTTCCTTTC